AATGGTGAGAAAGATCTTGCTATTAAATATGTTAACAATACGCCTAAAATTTTACGACACCCAGCAAAAAACTAAATAAAGAAATCTTACCTAATCAAAATGCAGAAAATAACAAAATTACGTATCAAATAACTGACGACTATGGAACTTTACATAGTGACAAATTATCATTGGGATTATTATATGCAAACATCCGAAGCTTAGTTAAACCAGGAAAGCTAGATGAACTTAAATGTATATTGGCAGCTATGAAAGTAGTTCACGTGGTTGTACTAGTTGAAACCTGGATTAAATCTGACAACGCTGCTAAGAATCTACGCTTGCCCAACTATGAACACTACTATAACTTCATAACACATAGCAGGGGAGGTGGAGTTTCTATTTTTGTGCACAAGAATCTCAAACACGATTTTATATGTAGCAAACATGAAGACGATAACCACTTTTTATGGGTTCATCTGAAAAAGTTCTCGTTGGATATTGGCGCCATTTATAAACCAGAAAGAACGAATAACTCGAGTTTTCTGGAAACCCTCTCCGATGAACTGCAGAAACGTAAAAGGACAGTCATTTTTGGCGATTTTAATTTCAATCTTCTCAGTGATGATCGTAACACTACAGTTTATAAAGAAATACTAGTAGAAAATGACTACAGAATACTGAACAAAGTAAGCCAAAAATACTGTACACGAGAGACCGCTACAACTGGCACTATATTAGATCATGTAATAACTAGCTTAAAGGACAATAGTTTCCACCTTGCTATAATTGAATCAGCCATGTCTGACCACAAACAGATATTTTTGGAAATCAAAAAATGTAAACCTCAACAGATAAAGAAGATACAGCAAAAAACTATTGACTTTACAAAACTTAATGAAACCTTAGAAGAACTAGACTATAACAATGTTGAAGCGAACTACACTGCACTTCATGAAGCAATACAATCTGCTATCAATAAAAGTAAAATAACAAAAATTAAAATTCTAAACCCCCCTAAGTCAGGTTGGATAGATCAGAATATCATTAATCAAATTAGTAGAAGAAACAAACTATGGAAGGAGTATAGAAGTAATCCTAATGATAAAACTATTGAAGAAATGTACAGGAGTGTGAGACGAAATGTTTTTGAGCTTATACAAAAGACTAAATCTCATTACTATTGCAAGTCGTTTAAGGAATGTGAAGGTAAGCCTTTAAAAATGTGGCAGTTAATAAATAGTTTATCTAACAATAAGCTTAAAGACTCCTGTGCCCCATCAAAATGTTGTGTTAGTTCCCGAACGTACTAAAAGTTGCAAAAGTTACCCCGATTCATAAGGCTGGGTCTAGAGAAGACCCAGGTAACTATAGACCTATTTCAGTTCTTCCCATAATGTCAAAGATATTCGAAAAATTACTTCATAATAGACTATCACAATATCTTAATTCTTTTAACTTTTTATTTGACGGGCAATATGGATTCAGACAAAAATCAAATACACTTTCAGCTTCAATTGATCTCATTACTAAAATTAAGACCAACATAGACCAAAAACAAATAGCTCTTGGCGTGTTCGTCGACTTAAAAAAAGCCTTTGATACCGTTAGCCACAATTTACTTTTGCATAAGCTAGAATCGATTGGCGTAACTGAGAATGCGTATACAATGTTTAAATCCTATCTGGAAAATAGATATCAGGTGGTTAGAATAAGAGAATACACTAGTAAACCCACAATAATCAACTGCGGTGTTCCACAAGGATCTATCATTGGCCCACTCCTTTTCCTTGTTTATATAAATAGCATTCATGAAATAGGACTCAAGGGACATATCTCTCTCTACGCTGATGACACGTGTCTCTTTTACTTTGGTCATCATATAGAATCTGTTTTACAAGAGGCGCAGGATGATCTAAAAATATTGGAAAAGTGGTTTTTGAGGAATTTATTGACTGTCAATGCCTCAAAGACCAATTACATAATATTCTCAGCAAAGAACAAAAAAATTCATGATCACCGACCTCTAACTATCAATGGAACTGTGTTGGCCAGGGTAAATAGGGAAAAGTATCTCGGGCTTACACTAGACAGTCAACTACAATGGAAACCACACATTGAATACTTACGTTCCAAACTAACCTGCCTAACAGGTTGTCTCCGAAATATTGCAAGGTGTCTTCCCATTAATGTTCGCTACACAATCTACAACTCAATGGTGAAACCTCATATTGATTACTTGATAGAGGTATGGGGATCAGCTGCTAAAACACATCTTAATATGCTGCAAAGGGCTCAAAATAAATTGATCAAAGTTCTTTTTCATTACAAGCATTTAACTCCAACCGTTAAAGTATATCAAGAGACAAAACTACTTATTATTTGCCAAATCTACCATTACACCACGTCTATTTTAATAAGGAAAATTTTAAACAATGAAATTCACACACAATTAAAGTTCACAACAACTGTACACACGCGTAGTTCAAGACGTGCAAACTTCTTAAAACTCTCTAAACCCAGGACTAATTACGGAAAAAATAAAATTATGTATCAAGGGGCACGGATCTACAACTTACTACCCAAAAATATAAAAGACGCGAAGTCGCTGGTATTATTTAAAAAGCTGTTAAAAGAACACATTTTCAAAGGCACCACCTGAAATTCATTCTAAAACCTTTGACTACTGATAAAATTCATGCACTACTATTTTTGTTGTTATATTATTATATTTATTATTTTTATTTTATTTTTGGTAATTAATTTTTTACACTGTTGTAAAACATAACTTGTTAAAAGAAAAAGAAAAAAAAAAAACTTTTTGCATCACAAGGTAATTACTGCATGTAAACCCACCATTATATTTGCTCCACTACAAACCAGTATTAGATCGGACAACTTAATTTTAAGAAGTACCTACATCGCATAAAAATCAGTTTGGAATTATCTACCTGTCAACGTTTACTTTTATCTTTTATAATTTGTATTTTATTTCTCCTTGTAAGTGATTTGTGTAATCTTGAGAAATAAAGTGATATTTAAACCGTAAATTAATACGCTTGTTTGTAAAAAAAAAACAAAAAAAAAAAATAGATCCTGATAGACCTGAAGAATTTTATTAAACTAAAGTTTTTGAATCATCAGCCTATCGCAGTCCACTGCTGCTGTGCTGGAAATAGGCCTTTCCCATTGCAGCCCACCTGGCACCTGGCGTCCTGCACAACGTTTGCCGAAGCTGATGATGATGATGATGAAAGTTTTCGAAAGTAAAGAAAAGAAAAGACTGTAATAAAATATTAAAAAAATGTCGGTAAAATATCGAGTCTTGTAAATAATATTTGCAAAAAATTCTAGAGTTCTGATTGGTCATATTCTATAAGAGGTGCTTCTATGTTATTGCCGTGTTCCATGTCTATTAGCGATGTCACTGCTACTGATGAACCCGAAGTCTTCAACATATCTGTAGGTTAGCTTAACGCAAATAGCGCCATTTGAATTATCAAAAACCCTAACTACTTATAATATGCCACTAATCGGTAGTAGTTTTATATCATCAATAACAATCATAACAGAAGAATTGTCAAATGACCTTGAACAGAACCAAGAGCCCTGGCCCAGATGGCTTTTCGCCTCGGTTTATATCTTCTTGTGCGTCATAACTTATTTCTCCTTTAAGTATTTTCAATAAATCTTTTAGTACAGGTATATATCCGGCATAATGGAAATTAGCAAAACCAAAAGGCACTACGCCTGTTCGTAAATCAGGAGACAAGACGCAAGAGTCTGTTAACCAATTATAGCCCGATTTGGAATCCTTAGTTCATTATTATACGATTAGTTGCTTCAAGGCCTAAATGACTGATCATCGATTTGTCAGATTTTAATCTATTGTAACCAATTAGGCTGCCTTTGTGTTGAAATTGACAGATGCCATTGATAACCATAACCCAGGTATTTTTATTTACTTTATTCTAGCAGCATGAAGATCATTTTCATAGTGATAAGAAAGTTGCGAGGTAAACCAAAATTTTATTAATGTATTATATTTATAACAACCTATAAAGTTAGTATTAGTATGTTAGTATGATAATTTTAAAATATAAAAATTTTGGTTATTTTTTTATTTTAGCTAATTAAAGTACTTGAACAAATTATCTAAGTATATAATTTTGACATTTTCATGGCAGTTTGTTTATCCCTTTACTGTAGAAGTCTGCTGGACGGGAGGCGATGAAGTCAGTGAAAGCGACTTTAGTTACCGACCGACCGCGGCGCCCGTTCTTTAACTTAAAATTTCCAGATCTAAAACGATTGAACCAATAACAGAGCGTGTTTATGCAGTGTTAGGCCCGTATACGTCGATAATGTTTTGTGTTGTTTGCGCAGCGGTATTTCCAGGTAAATCCAAATCCACCAAAACCAAATCTGGAAATGCTGATTTTTCAAAATCTTTAACTTGATATGAGATTATTACTATTACTATAATAGGTCTTTACCTATTATAATAATAGTAATAATCTCTTTTTTTTCTAAGAATATGTTCAGACTGATTTTAGACTGTAAGTAGGTACAACATTTTTGCCACTGGTGGCGTGAAAAAGTATTTAAAACACATTACGTTATCTAGCTTATCATTGTTACACAATTGTCTTCATTTTAAAAGTAAATTTTGTATCGGCATATTTTACCAAAAGTACGTTTTAGGAGTTTAGTTATCATGTAGGAGAAAATGAACTAAAGAAAACAAGTATTTATGTTCAAAATCCGTAATGTATTAAAGACAACATAGAATGTAACACAAAAAAATAAACAAAAACAGATTTACATTAACATTTATTAATAAAAGGGTTTCAGATAAAAAGTAATTAACTCTTGAAATGGAAAATATGAGTTAGTTACCAGTTAATTACGTATGAAAGTAATTAACTCATTTCAAATTATTAAAAATAGGATTGTTTTTTTTCAAATCTAGTGCTTTTATCGCCTTTGTAGGGTGTAACTCGTTTTAAATGTGTACGTACACGCCTACTATGTGGTAAGCCTGTTCGTTGGTGTGTAATCCGTGGCAGCCCTGCTGGTAGCTGGTTAGCTTTAGACGGTGTCCGTATAATTTCATGTCTGACACGACGCGATGCCTCATGTACGTACTTTTGTTTAAACCCTCGGTGTTTTCCTTGTTGTGTTCGTTTGACGTGAGACACGACTTTATGCTTGCGGCGAGACTCCTCTTGGGGTGTGCGTTCATTATACGGTAATCCTTTTAGTGGCTTTATGCGTACGGGTTCTGCTTCTACCGTTTCAATCCCATCTTGTACATTGTCAAGGTATGGTATGTTCACTTTTTGGTCAGGGTTGAAATTATTAGCGTAAGGTAATCCTGATTTGACACGCCTCAACCGCGGGGTATTCGATTTTTGAATATGCGGAGGCAAGTCTAATACATGGTGAAATGTTCTAAGAGTTTGAAAACTTTCAGGTGGTGATGAGTTTACAAGCTTTAAATAAGGATTTTTCACGAGTTTATTCTTAGTATGTGATGACTCTACTTCTACGCTTTCAACGTATGAATCTAACTTTTTATGAGGTTGGAAGCTCTTATAGTGTGGATAAGCTGCTTTTGCACGCCTTATATGAACGACACTTGATTCTGCGTCATTAATGTACGGTAGGCTATTTACGTCTAAATTGTCAGGGTAAAGTGTATCTATTTTCGTATGAAGGTCAACGCTGTCAGTGGGTGGTGATTCTGCTTGTCTATGTCTTACGTATGGGAATCTTTTTTGCCCATATGCAGTATGTGGTGTAGTGTCTTCTACATTGTCAAGGTACTGTAAACGTGATTTTAAATGGAGTTTAGTTTTACCACGTTGTGACCCTACTTTTTTATGCCTTGCGTGTGAATATTTTTCTTCTAAATTCTCAGTATGCCCGTGTTCGTCCAGGTCAAGTTCAGCGGGTGATGTTTCTGATTGTATATATCTTACATATATGCTTTTCCCTCGCCCGTACGTAGTATGTGGTGTTGCATATTCTACATTGTCAAGGTACGGTAATTGTGATTTTAAACGGAGTTTAGAACTTTTACCATATTGTGACTCTGCTTTTATATGCCGTACGTGTGAGATTTTTGGTTCTGAATACTCAGTAAGTCCCTGTACGCTCTGGTCAAGGTAAACTGGTGATGACTCTGATAGTGTATGTCCCACTTGTCGGGATCTTGGTTCTGGATTCTGAAGCCGCGGTGACCCATCTTCAAAATTGTCAAGGTACGGGGATCCGGCTTGTATACTGTCAGCATACATAACGTCACTTTCTGCATTTCCTATTAACAGCTTAGCTCTTGGACGCTTGGCGTTAAAGGAATCTGCTTTTATAAACTTTACGTATGAAGAGTTTGCCTTAACATGCTTCGCATAAGGTTCTGGTTCATTCTTAATGTGTGGGTTTCTTTCTAGTTCAAGTTCAGTGTGCGGTTTTCTTGATTGAACAAGACCAGTGTGTGGCAAATCTGAACTTAAGCGTCTGTGATTAGTGTTAGCTGATGTAATAATTTTTTGTTTCTGTGACACTTCCCCTTCTTCATGAGAAATTCCATTGCGATTTGCCAGCATCGGATTAGGTGTACAAGGGGACATGAACCATGGCTGTGTCCAAGGTTCAGATCTTATAGTACATCTAAACCTACCACCTGGACTCAAGCGGTTTGTGACCAAAGCTGAAAATAATGAAAAAAATATTTGATCAATATAGTTAATTAAGTTTCATCTTACAATGATGTTGACGTTGAAAGCCGTAGGCGGTTGCACATAAAAATCAAAAATACTGCGGGCATTAAGGATAGAAATATTCAAAGTGCAGCAAATTGTAGTGTGTGAACTACGACTTGTACGACGTCCCTTCCTATTTTCTCTATTGACTTAATACATAATATAGAGAATATTACTCTACCTAAAGTCAATCTTGAACCAACGGATCTAAAATTGATTTCCGTTCGGCCGCAGAAGACCTGCGCGCCTTCGAGCTGCGGGTTTCCTGAGCCTGACACCAGCAACTTGTCCATATAACAGTCATCCGTCTGAAATAAGCATTTAGAAAATTAACAAGCTAAACAGACTAGAAACTAATCTTGATGACGAAATATTTTGTTTGTAAGTAAAAGATAAAGAAAACAGCATACTACAAATTATCATGAATCACCGCAGCAAAGGCGGTAATACTTTTTATAAGTTAATTATTTAACTTATTAAAATTACGGACAAAAGAAATAGCTTCCTTTCACGCGATGGACCCGGCACCAATTATATTTTATGGAAGATACGTTATATTAATACGGCACGTACAAAATATTTGTTCCGTAATACTATAAGTACATACTCTTACCTGTAGTATGATATTCCTTTATCTTTATTTACCTTTTTGTCATAATTTGTATACTTTCGGAATACACAGGAAGGCATTTATCTATTTTCTCGAATTAATTAGTACGTGGGCTCGCTCGTAGTGATCCTAATTAGGACCGATTCTCAGCATTCGTTTTGTGTATTGGTGGCGTATCTACATAATATCATTGACCGGAACGATATATGCAGTGCCGTGCGTCTGTGACTTCATGAAAGGCTAGGAAATTGGTCTCCTAATGGCACAAATAAAAATAAATTGATACTCACTTGAGGTAGACCAACATCGAGGCAGCGCAGACGACAAGCATACCATATTGGACAGTCGAACGTCCATCGGCATGTGGTTCCAGGAGCGTAGGTGGCAGGCCAATGTGGATTTTTAAAAGAAGACGCCTGCTTGCTCGATAACTGTATAATTTTTTAAGAAATTGTAAAATGTCTGAATATATTGGGGGCAAAATATTTAGAGTGGAGAAAACTCGTGAATAAAACAGACTATTGTTGCTTATCACATAGAAAGTAAATAAATGATGTTACATAGAATAGAATAGAATATATTTTATTTTGCAAATATAGGTAATACGTGATAGGTGTTGCAGTACATTAAAGCGCCGCCATATTTTACCAGTGGCATGCAAACATTTTTTGTACTAGGTAAACATAGTAGTCCATACTTGTATTTTAAGAGTCACAAAGTTAAGAGATGAATAGATTAAATCAATATTCAAATGGCACTTGATAAGTACTCAATGCGAGAATTAAAATGGTACTTTTTTCCATAACTCTTGTAATTATTTACAAACACTTAGGTCTTTATCCCCAAAACCCCTTCCGGAGTGTGTCAGTCCGAAACAGAGTTGTTATAAACGTCTTAATTTTGTCCATTATAATTTGAACTAGTAGTATTGTAACAAAAATGTCGGTTATCGCGGTAAAAACTAGCATATGTGTTTCCTTAAGAATCAAAGTATCTCCATACCAAATTTCATCTAAATCGGATCAGCGGTTCTTGATTCTCCATACAAACTTCCACCCCCTTTTCACCTCCTTAAAGTATGATTTCTAGGCTAAAAACTACCCCATGTCCTTACCCGGTACTCGAACTATCTCTATACCAAATTTCATCTAAATCGGTTCAGCGATTTAAGTGTGTAGAGATAGTAGACAGACGGACACACTTTCGCATTTATAATATTAGTATGGATATTAGAATGGATAACACTTACGTAATAATGAGCGAGTCTATTGCCATCAACTGGAAACTGAACTTAACATAACGTACCTTAATGAAAACTGGACTTAACGACTTAGAAGTGAAGATTGAGATTTCAATGTGTAAGGTGAAGGAAAGATAAGGGATCGTAAGCGATAGCAAGATCTGTCAGGAGTCCAAGCTCTCCAGGCTTTAAATAGTGATTGTATTACATAAATATGAAGCCTAAGTTACATTTGAGTGCGAAAGTGAACTAAGGTTTCTATTCCGGCTTGGCTGGGCCGAGTCATGTAATTAGGGACCTTGACTGCTAAGCTAAAGGTTTAGGTTTGATTCCCTTGCAGGATTTTTTTGTGTAATGAACACGATCATTTGTTCTTTATCTTTGTGTAATTTATCTATAATATTATATGTATTTAGAAATATATAAGTATGTTTATTATAAGTTTGGTTGCATAGTACAGGTTCTGCCTAGTTTGGGATTGCCCGCTATTAGTTGGAGGTACAAAAATTATAGTAGGCAACATGAAAGTTTAGTTTTAATACGCTTCTGTCCACCACTTCGCGGATAAAAGACGTGGGTGTTTACTTATGTAATTGAATTGAAATATTTAGTTTTGTATAATAGAACTGTGCAAAATGTAAAAAGGACTTACTCTCTCAGCGAAGTCACAGCCATTATCCGGGTGAATCAGTAACTGGACATAGGCCAGATTAATTGAGAGAAGTAGTGCTGCTCCAAAAACCATTCTAAAAATAATATAATTGTTTATGATAACAATTTAAGTCGCACTAGTACATTGCCACTTTCTATAGGGTTTGTGTCAAGTTTTTCTTCGCTTTGTAGTAATGTTGTCCTGCGTACTTTGCTCCCTTAGTCGGCTCTTCTGACACCCACGGGATGAACAGGATTGGTGACACTCCGTATTCCATTATTCGACAGATATTTTCAAAGGTGTTTCAAAGGTGTTAATGTTCCCAACCATTCCTAAATGCCTTGTATTATTTAAGATTAAAGCTACTTAAAAAAAAACAAACCTGATAACTTTCACCAATTCCAATGGAAGTCCAATTAAATAGTCTTTCCAGGATATATTAACACTAGAACACTCAAATATAACACAAGATAAATTTATCAATGGACACACAAGTGAAACAAATCAACCATGTCTACCGACTGATTAACAGACCCAGAAGTCTCCGTTAAATATCTTTTCCTGTGCCTATTGTCTACTGCGTTTATTATTTTACTTAAATAAATAAAAACAGGTGTTTATGATACATGGTTTTACATAAATAGAATAGTTATGATAACATGACAACGCTGGGTTTTGAATGAATATCAATATTATTGTGATACCAATGGACCTACGTACAGGAACCACTTGATTCTGAAAAACTAGTCGGTTTTTCATATCCTTGGCTAACTGTGCCTTACAGTGAAGTAATCAATATACTAAGTATTTTAACTAAAGCCGGAGGTCATTTTTTTCTTTAAAATCTCTTTTTTTTTGTTAATTAAATATATTTAGAAATAAATTTGTTAGAAGGGTAAGAAGATGATGATGGCGATGAGATTCATCAAAATCTGTTTACGGTTTAAAAATAAACCGTAAACAGATGTTGATGAATCTACGTTCTAGACATTTCGGATGACAGTATTAAAAGTTGACATCTTAGCTCTTAAATAGTGGAGGTAGGAGATGAATAGTGGACTGTTCAATAACTTTTGCTAAAACCTTCGAGTTTTGGCTCAGGTTTGATCGGTTTTAAGGATTCGAATATGTTGACTTCTAGTTCAACCAGAAGGTGGATGAAATAAGCAACGCTAATTTATCGCTGTAACAATGTATCAATAAAACAAAATAGGAAATAATGACACAAAAACTTTGTCCTATTAAAGTACATTATTGATTTGAATATTAGGTTTAGGCAACAATGACAGGTTTGTACTTATTACGCAGTAAGAATACGGAATGTCACCACCCCTATTTATCCTGTGGGTGTCGTAAGAGCCGACTAAGGGAGCAAATTACGCAGGACAACAGCACTTCAAAGAGAAGGAAAACTTAAAACAAACCCTTTTTTTTTTTTTTTTTTTTTTTTAACGTGTGGAAATCCCCTCGGACCGTCACCCCACCGGGGTTTGCGGCGGGGTGGTGTGTCGGACTCGAACCGACTAAAACCACACGGTGTGCCCTCTTTGCGCTTCCAGTTTAGGAGGGGTCCAGGTAGTTATCGCCTTCTGGACCCCTCCCAGCGCCGGCCCGCTCCTGGTGCGGGCTCCGTCTTCAATTATCCTCTCTTTAGGCGACGTCCGGCACACGCGGACGCCGCCCCCTCGCGGCTGGCCAACTAATGCGGGTGGAGGGGAAACCCACCCCGTCCACCCGCGGCCACACTCAGGGCGGCATGAGGCGCAGGTAAGCGCGCCTCCGCCGCCCGGTTCGCCGGCGGCGGATCAGGTCCGAGTGGAGGTCGTCCTCCCGGGCCTTCTCCGCCGCCTCCTTCTGCGAGATTACCTCCTCGCAGAAGGTTGCGACCGCGGTAAAACAACTGTCGCTACCGGCCATGGAGCGAATTACGGCCGGTAGCGAGAGATCTGCTCCGATGACTGCAGTGAGGGCCCGGCGCTGCGTCGCCCATGCGGGGCAGACCGCCAGCGTGTGCTGGGCCGAGTCCTCACTGCAGTCGCAGTGGTGGCAGGCGGGACTCAGTTCCCTCCTAGCGACCGAGTGCAGGTACTTTCCGAAGCAACCGTGCCCGGAAAGCACCTGCGTCAGCCGGAAGGAAAGGGCCCCGTGCTGCCGCCCTGCCCACTCGGCTATGACCGGCTGGAGAGCCTCCACGGCGGCGAAGCCAGCGCGTGGAGTCTCCAGCCGGAACGACCATCTAACCATGGTGGCTCGGCGAGCGGCTTCGCGCCACTCGCGCACGTCTTCGGGCGGAGGGCGAAATCCGCTCTCCGCCCGGAAGTCAGCCACTCGCCGATAAACTTCGGCGAGCACTTCCGCCTCCAAATCCCACGGGGGTGTTCCGGCCAAGGCGCAAGCCGCCTCGGTGGACACCGTGCGGTATCCGCGTATGGCTCTGACCGCCAATATCCTCTGGGGGCGCCAGAGGCGCGCCCTATTCGGGGCGGTCAGAGCCGCCACCCACACCGGTGCACCATAAAGCGCCATGGACCGGACAACCCCCGCGTACAGCCGCCTCGTGGGAACACTGGCCCCGCCCAAATTGGGCAAAAGTCGCCCTAGGGCGGAGGCAGTGTCCACCAGCTTCGGACCAAGCTGTCGGAAGTGCTCGTCGAAGAGCCACCTACCGTCTAGGACCAGACCCAGGTACCTCATCTGGGCCCGGACCGGTAAACTTAAAACAAACCCTGTACCAACCCGTCTGGCCAGTGTGGTATAGTAGGCCAAAACGTCATTTCTAAGGAGAGGCCTATGTCCTGCAGTGGACTGTTATAGGCTGTTGATGATGATGATGACGCAGTAAGTAGTTACCGCCGCCTAAAAAGAAGAAGCCGTAACGCAAGTCGGTTCCTAATGCGTTCTTATTGTTTTACTACAATGTGAATTGAGTAACACAATTTGTAAATAAAAACTATTATATAGGATTTTAAGAACATTTCCATGTCCGTAAGAACAAAATATTATACCTCGTTACAAATTGTCTTTTTTTTAGTTTGATGACTCAAACTTTCCGGCAATAGTCAATGCGAGTCTTGGGTAAGCGAACATGACTAGCTTGGACTATTGCTTACATTCCCCAACCAACCTGTATAAACAAATTACCTTTTCTACCATTGATGTTCTTTCCTTTTGACGATACTCCTTTGCCCATTCAATCTCTAGTGCCCAGTTGACCGCAATGGGACCACCATTATGAACCAATTGCTACTTACAACCAATTATATTGCAGGTTTTGACCGTATGCTGTATGTGTTAAAATGTTTTGGGTAAAATGTTTTGGGTATGTTCTGATTACTCATTGTGATATCATTTTTAACCAAAAAAAATTAAAATTATAAAAAAATATGAATTGTCAGACAGAAAATTCCAATGATTTTCGACTCAGAATGATGGTCTGAATAGACTATTTCAGTATTCGTTACGACATTCCTTACACCCTGTACAATATAGTTCAATCTCAAAAAGGATCTTTATTTAAATATGGTACAAGGGTTATTTTCCTATGTCAGGCTACCTCCTCTAACAGATGTCGTCGTGTGATAGAAACTTTGATGTACATAAGCTTCTCTTAGTTGTAACAACACTTTTTTCTACGGCTATAATCAAGTACAGGTAAAGAAATTAGAGGGGTTCCAAGTAATTTGTTCACCATTTGCCTTGCGAGCCATTCTTGTGGCTATTAGTTTATTTAAAAGGGTACTACAGCTTAAGCTGGCGTTAGACAAAAGAAGTTTTAGAAGGCTTCAATCGTCGTTCGGCCCTTGTAAAATTAAACTTTAAAAAATATAGAATAAGTTAGAAAAATATATAGATTTCTTATTTTTAACAATTTATCTTCTCAAAATTAGGTTGGGTCTGCTATAAGTGTACTATAATATGGCTGAATTTTGATTTTTTACGTGGAGCGACTACCATCAGAGTCTACAACCCAGGTACTAGGCGATATCTAAGTTCTGTAGATAGATTGTTGTCGCACTTTTCAGTGCTCCGACTATCCGTAACGATTGCCAGAGATGTTTGTCTGGCAAGCGGGTCCGACAGCTTAACGTGATCGCCTAGGCACGGAGGGGTCTGAATGTGTTAAGAATAGTCACCCATCCATATTCTGACCTGGCTAGGATTGCTTTGATTGAACTTTGTTTAACCTACTCGGTTACCACTTACCTCGGTTTCATATTCTAATTAATTATAAACATATTTACATAGTAGTGATATTTACATATAAATGAGTAAAAAGCATAGCTTCAGATACGTATTTACTGAGTAGTTTTTTATTTTACAGACAACTCCCGCACTAGGAATAAATCCTGTGTCGCGGGGAACTTTACAAACATACATGAAACAGACACAAAAAACACCCAGAATCAGAACAACAATTTGTCGATCACAGAAAGTGTCGTCCCATGTGGGGATCGGACCCACAACACTCAGCGTAGTAGTAAACGGCGTGGCGACCGCTTAAACCACTACGCTATCCGTGCAAAGTTTCCGAAACACCACGTAGTAGATGTTTATAAAAATAATGTTTCGGAGAATTTGCCGCCCACATCATTGGTTGTGTAGGTCATATCGCCCGAGGAAGTAGTGTTGATGTGTGGTTCATTTTTTTTTGCATTAGGCTATTTTAAGTCAAACGAAGAGAAAAAGATCAGTGAAAAGGTGGGTCAGGAATTACTTGTTAAGGAATCTATCAAGTCAAGACGTATTAGTAATTCATGAGTGTCGAAATCAGATCTGAATCTAAATTGTTTTGCTTGCTCCGTCGCAAGCGGGAAACACAAACACGTTTTTTCTACCTTCTGCCCGGAATCGGTTTTGCTCTCTAGCACCTGGTGCGAGTTTTGCGAGACAGGAGAGTATTTTTGTCTTTCTTTACAAATTTGAGTGAAGTCAGAAGCTTCGCACAATCTAAATTGACCACTTTAATAAATGTTTACCAAATGCGTAAATACCAATGCGGATACGAGGAATTATTATACCCCTAAATTCGTAAATGATTGGTTCTTCACCAAATGTATCTAATAGATTGCCACATTCAAGATTTATTTTTGGTAAAATAACTAACCTTCATAGAAATGAAGAACCCTGAAACCTTTCTTTACGTCTTCTTCAAAGACATGAAGAAAGGTCTGAGGGTTTATTTATGGGACAAAAAGTAGTATTTTTCAAAAAATAAACCAGCATTCATGTAAATTAGCTTGACGAATGATTGATCTCCCAAATATACTTACATACCTTATTTTGTTACCTTCAAGATTTATTTTCGTGACAAAAAATATCAGTTTCTATCTTGTACAAAGAACCTTAATTATGTGAAATTTCATTCAAATCCTTTTAGTACTTTGAGTGTGTACTTTGTTTAGTAATTGTTCCAGTAGGTAATCAGTGATTTTAACTGTTGACCGAGGGGTCGTGTATTTGACTTTCACTCAGGACAAATAAATGTGTGATGATTATAAGGCTTTTCTTATACTACACATTTATGTTGGTTTGCAACTGGTGAGAGTAAACTCTCAAATCACTTTCAAAGAGCTCGTCACCTCAAAATGTATTGTCTTATTCATCTGTCTTCCTTACTCACGAGGAAAAATAGAGTGAAGAAAAAACAAAACCTATTATTATGTTCATAAGATGTTCTTAACACTGATATGTTTTTGTGACTCATTTGTAAAACTCTTGGTTTTGAGTATTTGTAGAAAAATTAAAAAAAAAGAATTTTAGTTATTTCAACCTACTTTATTTTCTCATCGTCGTAGGCGGAAAAGGAGTACCTACATTATACTCGAGTATACGAAATGAAGCACTGTTTTGTTAGTCTTATGAACGACTCTACGTTTTAGTAATTTTCATTTCGCCACTTATTATATTATTATTATTTTTCGACACTTTGGCGAATAAACGACAAGTTAGACAATCAAAGTGAATAAACAACGGTGTTAGAAAAGCACATAGTTAGCCGATTTATTCGTGCAATTAATATTTGATGATCTGTAAGTCAGACATCCCTAAAATTTATGATTTTTGGAAGATCGTTTATTAATATAGTTGCAGTTTCAATATTGGGTCTATAGCGTACCAAGAAAGCCCTTGAAATAGCTTGAATAAGCCCGCATACAAAACTTAATTTCTGACTTATCAGATCCTGAGTTTACGAAGGTCTGATATTGAACTGAAATGCTTTCTGCTCGAGCACTTTTCCGCGCACTCTCGCGCACATAGATAAACCAGTTTCAGTATATTTTTGATAAATATAATTTCGCAGTTGAGGTAACAGAAAATAAATAATCCTCTTAAGTAAAAAAATATACTTATATTTTCGTAGAATCTACATCATAACAGTATAATTTATTATTCTAATGTTACTAGTACATTTTATTTTATTATTATTGCTATTAAAAAGTGCTAAAACTATGAAGACAAGTAGGCACATTGTACATTGTGAATCACAAAACCACTTGCTTCTGTAAACTACAATGTACGTGTCTCTACCGCCGTTTCTCGTCAGAAATGATCTCATTTGGTGAATGGGCAAATTTGGCCCATGGATGTTGAAAAGGCTCGGTTCTCACTGTACATCTAAACCTTCCACCGGGGCTCATTGCACGTGACATTAATCCTGAAAAAAAACATTAACACAGACAGACATTAATTAATAGTAATTAGGAAAATAAAGTTTAATTTCTAAATTATGATTTAGTTAATTAGAATAGCAGACGAAATATAAGCCTAATTACATTGCGTGAGAGCATTCCTTATTCTTCACATGACTCAGTATATTACTTTAAGCAGCGAAGCCTTGTGAAACCTCTCAGAAATGGGTTGGTGGTTTATGTGGTGTGTATGATGTAAACTGACAACGGGAGATATAAATTTTACAATAATTACCAATTGTTATCCTGGTACCAATAGATGTGGTATTGATAGAAGTTCGGCCGCAGAACACTTCTGCGCCCTCGAAGAATAAATTGCCAGTAATGGAGACCAGAAGTCTGTCCATAAAACATCCTTGTGTCTGAAAATAACAATATAATGAGTTTAGGTCTTTGCTTCATAACTTCTACAATTTGTAAAACAATTATTGATCTTTTTGGTTTAAAAAATATTGTTTGATCAATAACAGTCATGTTGGTGTGGTGACGGATTAAGAATACGGAGTGTTACTACCCCTATTCATCCCGTGGGTGTCGTAAGAGTCGACTAAGGGAGCAAACTACAGGAAAACAGCACTGCAAAGAGAAGGGAAACTTGACAAAAACCAGCGTGGTGTAGTAGGCCAAAACCTCCTTTCTAAGGAGAGGTCTATGTTCAGTAGTGGACTATTAAAGGCTGTTGATGATGATGATGATGAATAACAGCTTGAGATATAGGACCGACAAGAAATAGTTTTAAATGTATATCGGTATAATCTATTGTTTCTTTGCGAGGAGTGCAGAAACATATAAAATATATATAAATATTAACATTTATTGTTCAGACTCAGATTACCACGTCAAACACGTAATAGTTTATGATTTGAGTAGTGTATGCCTTTTTATTGTGTGTAAACCCTCACAGTTCATCTCCTTACCGAGCTTCAAGGTGAAGTATACTACTTCATCGTGTGACCAACCGACTAAAGCCACACAGTATCTTAGAAGGAAGTCCCCGAAAACCCATTCAAACTTTGGCTAGAGCAAAAACATTACAACTTCTGGAATGATGATAGGTCTTCTCAAATGAACATCAGTTTTATTTTAGTACTGCTCTTTCTTATCATCTTAGCCAAAGAAAGTCATCAACTGGACATAGGCCTTTCCCAAGGTTCGCCACAACAACCTTTCCTGTGCTATCCGCATCCAACGGCTTCCCGCGACCTTCGCCAAGTCAAGGCTACCCACTTAGTGGTATATTAATTAAGATCACTTTCGGAAAAAAGTAATCAGCCATTCCCAAAGACAAATTGACATAGATATCTTTAATTAATGAGATCTTTTTAATTTATACTTTTACTTATAAGATCACTTTCTTGTCCGTCTGTCCGTGTGTCACCACCGATTTTCTCAGGGACGGGTAGACCTAGCAAGTTGAAATTTATACCAGATACTGAGGTCTATAGTCCCTATGAGGTGTATAAAAATCAAGGTCGTGAGTCAACACGATAAAAAGATATGGTCAAATTTCGATTTTCGCAAAAATTTGTAACTACAAAAATTTACCTTAATTTTCAACTTTTTTATTTTTTCGAATTATTCCTTTATTTGTAGTACGTAAAATCTGGGTAGATACGGAGCGCTCGGCGCACGAGATCGACTCGTACCTGATCGGTTTTTCGACCAACGGTGACTACAATAGAGGTAAAAGTTATGCTAGCCATGAGTCGTCATAGTTTCATTTGAATTATAAACGTCATCGAATAAACACAGTTCAGCAACTCTAAGCTACAGTTACAAATTACTTACTTTAGGAAGTCCAACATCGCGACACTGCACTCGACAGGTATATTCAGGACAGTCAAATATCCAACGACAGGTTACACCGGCAGTGTAGGTGCCCGGAAAATGGGGATTGTTAAAGCCATACACCTGATGTGGCAGCACCTGTAGGCACAAGTAAACATGTTTTATCCTGTTCTTGATTTTCATGATGATTATCATTTATCTTGTATACTAGTTTAAGTGTAATTGATAAAAAAAAGAAAAGCCAAGACAAATATCTCTACTTCTTCTTTTTTCATCAATTAGATCAACGATGTAAATAGAGATAAAAAGGAAAAAGAGGATGGTGTACTTCTTCGTATACGATGTTATGTCGTGTTAATATACAAATATTATCATTGTTGTAACATCACTATGTTAGTAAGTAATGTCACGTCACTAAGGCACGTTGCACTATGTACATACTTGGGTAGTCACTTCTCTGCTGTCTGCGACACTGTCAAGTACCTAGTCAAAGTCTGTATATGCAATACCTAATTAATAAGAGAATATAGTCAACAATTGATTTCATTTGTAACACGTCCACATAACTATTATCACTTATTCTATAACTTTTTGATTTCTTCCAAAATAGCTATTAAACTTTTGTTGAAAGCTCTTGATTTAAGTAGGTATGTGTTCATTTGTTTACAAAATTTTAACTTACTGACACACTGAAGTCACAATTGCTTGCTGGGAAAACCATAACCTCAACCGACACTATCTTCACCATAATCACTAATGTTGCTAGGAAAATCATTCTGAAATTTAAAATTGATTTAACAAGTAATTAACATTTAAAAAGGCATCACCTTCTTTGCCACATATAAGTAGTAGTAGGAATGGTATTGTGTATTAAAATTTGAAAGGTACCTAACGGGAAGTAGGTCCCTTCAAAATTAACATTGAATGTTCTAAGTCGATTCATAAATGATGGACTACTGACGTAACAAACATTAAAAAAAACAACGAAATTGAGAAGCTTCTATTTTATAGGGTTAGTTAAAAAATTAAGTACTCTTTAAAATGTTCTAAACAAAGTGATTCAATGCGTAAATTGATGTTTAAAATATATAATAACTTAATATTATCAAAATGGTAATTAATAATTCTATTTTTTTCTGATAAAAATGTTACACGAGTGTTACCTGTAGGAAATGAAAGCCGAGATTTTTATGTTACGAAAATTAAATTCCAAATTTGCACAGATTTGAACACACTTTATTTAACAGGAACGGGGTTTTAACAGAAGTGGACTAGGTAGATTAACACGATCGAATGAACCGTAGACACAGAAACCTACCTTAAGTAGTGCTGCAGAGACAACAATCCCGAATTGTTTCTATAATAGAAGAATGGTGTTCCAAATAATACGAAACTCTTTTGAATCACGGCCAAAACACCATTTTCATAATACTGTGACATCACTACGAAATTATGATTATAATTTTATTGTTAAAAAGATGCATCTTCACTAGAAGATCTTATTACATGACCATCATAGTGACTCACAGTACTTTTTCCAGTAGGATTCTTGGCACATACATATGCCTAAGCATTGGCTCTCTCACGATAGAAATTGTTAGGGCAAACATATCATTCTGATCGAATCGGACAATATGTGTAGGGAGCTCTCCCTAAAAATACCTTAATTATTTATTTAAGACAACTCCCGCATTAGAAATATACCCTGTGTATTTCCTGACTCCTGTGCACTCAGGGCAGCAATTTGTGTAATGTAAAGTAATGTCCCATGTGGGTATCGAACCCTCAACACTCAGTGTAGTAGGTAGCGGCGAGGTGACCGCTTAAACCACTACGCCATCCGTGCCATAACGGTTATTTTTCTAATTGTACACCATGATAGTAATAATTCTTTGTAACTAAATGTAAATAAAGTGAGTTACTAGACAATTAACAATAATATGATCCGCATATTGTTGTTCTAAGTCTGTGTGATCTTTGTGTCCGTTTCATAAATATTAGTTCATAGCGACAGAATAAATTCTTAATGCGGGAGTTGTCTTTAAAAAAAATGGTCTCTATATTTAGTTTTATATACACATCTTTAATAAAAAAAAATTATTGTTTTGCGCTCTATTATTGTCAATCGAATGAATTGATTTTTTAAATACTTATTAAATACAGGTCATTTTACAAAGTTTTGAACAATTTTTAATCGCCTTCAAAAAGACAAAGGTCCTAATTCGGCTCAATTTTTGTGTATGTGTGTTGTGTAATGCATCGATCAACAATACAACTTGTTGATCGAAGATGTAATGCCAAATCTTCGGCATTTGAGAGCCGATGTCAATCACTATTTGTGTAGAACCAATCATTCAATTTTGTGTAGATATAGTTTTTCTTTACTTATCTTGTACTTGTTGGTCTATTTAATAAGTACTTAAGCTCCAAACGATGTCGAGTGCCAAAAGATACAGCTATTTTAACGGTATCTATGAGCTGTTGTTAATATTCATACTTGTCTTTACCAAAATTAGTATCTGTTACTATAACTCTTTAACTAAATCATTTCATTTTTCAATCTAAATATGATTGATGCCTACGTCCTGCGTTACCTATAAGAAATAACTATTCAGATACATTACGATGTGAAATGTATGACTATATATTTATGGTATTTATTTTAAGAAGCCTTACAGACTAATAAGACTAATAACACACTAAACAAATAGTTCTATTTTTAAAAAAGGTTGTTTTAACAAGCCTCTATATTAGGCATAAGTAAACTAATAATAAAATACATTAAAATAATATCAATCCAAAAACTTGAAAAAGTAGTATTATAAAAATTTATAAATATTCATTTCATTTCCCCCGTGCATGACCTTTTTCCTCACCGTCTTCATTTTCCTGACCTTTTTATTTAGGGTCGGTGAAATGCGTAAAAATGATTTTGTCTCATAGCTCTTAAGGCCCGCTTACCCCTGCTGGGCTAGAGCATCATCGTTAGAGGGACACACGAAGAAAGTAAATTGGAGAAAAAAAGGCATACGGATATGGCGAGTAAGTTAGGGTACCGGAAACCGCAATAGGGCTGAGACTGTAATAGCTCCAAGAGACCTATGTTCCGTACCCGTATATATTAACGTGATTGGAGAGGCCACTACGCCAGGACACTTACTGAATTCAAATCAATTGTTATTATCATCATTAACAGGACTGCTGGACTAGACCCCTCCTTAGAAAAGAGGTTTTGGCTACTACTATACCACGCCTCAAGTTGCCCTTCCTTTGTAGTGCTGTAGTAATGCATAGTTTCCTCCCTTCTTACGACAGCCATGGGATGAATAGGAGTGGTGACACTCCGTATTCTTAATCCGTCACCACACGGCATATGTAGTTGATTAGTCGATTTAATTATTAAGTGCATGCTCTCATTCAAAATCTACAACTAACTAATATGATTGTACGTGTGAAAGTAAAACAAAGATAAATAAAATAAATGCTAGTGGTCTTCCTTTCGAGTGTTCTAATCATATTGGTGTATTTCTAGCACGAGGGATCGGCCACCTACGTTCAAAATAAATCAATTTATATACTTTTTGAAATTAAGATATGTATTATCTTCTTTTGTAATTGTGAGAATTAAAAATGAAGAAAACGTCAAAAGTTGAAATACAAATTTCTATAAAATGGACCTTTTTGACATTTAATAAAAGCTAACCAAGAACGTATCTGGCCACATGCAGTCCCAATAACTATTTCGTTTTACTAACTTTTTCTTAAGGACAAGAATTATTGTGTTTTGTAGGCAATATTCTAAGTAACTACTCAATCGAGAGGTATAAAAAGGAGCATGGTGTATTAATATATTTATTTTGTGCAATAACCTTATCATCATTACTTTTATGCATAAAGTGTACATAGACAAATGAATAAATCTGAATCTGAATTTTCATTCAGAAAAAAACCACTATTCTCAAGGAATTAAACAATGACTATGGCGGGTATTAAGCCACAAACAAAATATTTTGGCTGCTCTATTCTTTAGGACTCTTAAAAACCTCAGAACTTAATAGCTGCTGAAAACCTTAGGTATTTTTTAAAAACCAAAATCATAACGCCAATAGATTGTTCGTTTTGGTTAGTTTAAAATTATTCGAGATTATGTAAGTTACATTATTAAAAATATAAGAGAATAAAACAGAGCCAGCACAAAACCTGTGGACATTAGTATTTTAGCGTGAAAAGGATAGAAATTAATTCATCGGAACATGTGAGTGCCTGTATGTAAATAGTCCTCATGGCGTAAAACGAAAAAAAAAACGTAGTTTTGATGAATAGATTTTGGAAGAAAATAAACTACGATTGTGGTTGACTACTACCACAACACACGGAAATAGCTTTTTAAATGTGACCACCATTGTCTAAACCGGTAGTCAGTTCTATATTATTTTTGAGAATTTTGACAAGAATGGGGACAATGGGGTCTGCTGTCTTTGGCCATTTAGCTATGGTTATTTAATGTTGATATTTTTGGAGTATTTCTCAGTCGATTGAGAAGACTTGCTAGCATCGCAGTGATTTGAACCTTTCACAAAATTATTTTAATGATTTCTGATATTAGTTTATTTTTCGAGATAAATTTGATTGTGGTTTACGATTTGTTTTTATTATTAAGGAGGATAAAAACTTAAAGAGAGGAATATTTGATCTTTCTCGTTAGTGAAAGAGTTTTGGCAGTTGTGTAATAAAAAGTTGTATATTATTTCAGAATGATTTCCGAAGTAGTTCTTGTACTATTCGTTGATCTGGTTTCCTCTATGCTGGATCATCCACCTTTAACTTGCAGTTATAGCGAAGCTGTAAGTATTACTCATTAAAATTTAAATTAGATAAAAGGAATGACGTTTGTCCCCTACACAAGTCATTCCATACTCTCAGAAAAATAAAGGCCACAAAGTAAAATTTAGAGAAAATAATACGTTATTGTCCTGTCTAGTCTGCTCCCTTAGTCGGTTCCTACGACACCTATGGGGATGAATAGGTGTGGTGACACTACGTATTCTTAATCCGTCACCACATGGGAAACTTGACACAAACCCTATACCACCCCATATCGCCAGCGTGATATAGTAGGCCAAAAGAGCCAAAATAAGAAGAGCCTTAGAAAGGAGATTTTATATACTACTAGCTGACCCGGCAAACGTTATTTTGCCATATACATTATTTCTAGGAAATTAAAAAAAAATTAGGATGAAAAAGAGATGTTGGCCGATTCTCGGACCTACCCGATGTGCACACAAAATTTCATAAAAATTGGTCCAACCATTTCGGAGGAGTATGGTAACCAACATTGTGACACGAGAATTTTATATATAAGATTAAATTTCGGTGAAGGTAGGAGAGTATGTTTTGTACAAATTAGGTGTGTTTGTACTCTTTGTATATGTAGTTTGATTATTAGTGATGTTTTAAGAACTAGAACGGCTTTCTGTTTAATTTAAACTATATATAATTAATAACTATAATATATTTTATAAAATTTATTAAAACCAGTATTAAAAGCGACTATCATCACACGGTTGCAAACACAGATCAGATCAATTACGTCAGTAAATAATTAATAAACTGACAGCTGACAATTGAAATGTACTTATACTAGTCTATGAAGCACTGTCAGTTTATCGGTCAGTGACGTCATCAAACTCATTAGTGTCTTAGCAAAAAAAATAGAAGTACCTTTTTTTACTCCATTTTTCTATAGCCCTTAAAATTGTCATCTTCGGTTTATGC